GAGCAAGGACGCTACTAGGGGCTCCTGGCATCGCTACTAGGAGCAAGAAGCTACCAGGGGCTCCTGGCCTTGCTACCAGGAGCAAGGACGCTACTAGGGGCTCCTGGCATCGTTACTAGGAGCAAGGATGCTACTAGGGGCTCCTGGCCTTACTACTAGGAGCAAGGACTACTAGGGGCTCCTGGCATCGCTACTAGGAGCAAGAAGCTACTAGGGGCTCCTGGCATCGCTACTATTGCAATTTGGGTACTGGAGACTCACAAACGACATTCCTTACATAAAGCCAAGGGGCAGCGTTTGGATTGGCTTTGTTCTCCAACAAAACTCGCAGCACTTTTGGGCTTGGTGGTATCTGTCGTGCCCTGATAGCATTCAGCATTCCCGGATGATCCAGGTACACACTTCCTCTTTCCTCTTTCTGGCTAGTTGCAAACTTGGGTCAAATGTTAAGCAACTCCAATTTCAACAGGATCATTTCTCTTTTGCTTTTGTTTTTCACTACATAGCTTTGTTTTCGGTGCCTCTGCCCAAAGGATGCAATGACCAAGCCTTGGCCACAAGCGGCATTTGGGCACCATCGCATTTGCAAACTTCCACATGCGAAGTGCAACTTAAGAGCCGTCTGGGATAGGAAATCCAAACTTCAGGAAAGCCTTGGCATCTTCTAGAGCGTCCTGAAATGTATGGGGCATTGCACAATGAACAAATTGAATCGCTATACTATTTATTATATGTCTAATCAATTTTTGTTATATGGTTATTTATTTATGCTATATAATCAGTTGCTTTCGCATTGCTTTCTCCCCTCCTCTCCACGTTGAAGCCTGGCAGCCAAGGCTTCAGCTGCGGCCTCAATATTGCAAAGGTGTTGAACAACTAGCTGGTGCTTTGGCATCGTTGAGAGCAGTGCACTAGGTCACCAGGTGCTGTCAATGGGTCCGGTCAAGCACGACAACTGTATACAAAAGCAATGGCCTCCAACCTAATATATAGCGATGGCCTCCAACCTACTCATGAAGAAACACTTGAAGTGGCCGGCCTGAGCTTGAGCCAGAGTCATGACAGCACTGGGCAAATTGGAGTCTGATCTCTTCAAAGCCGTCAATGTGTGTTGAAAGCGTTGCTCTTATCTTCAGCATGTACAATGGCATTGTTCTTGACTTGTGCTTGGAGAGTTCGAGCCAATGCGAAAAGTAACGTTTCCAGCAACCAGCATCTCTTGGATTGCAGGGGCACGTGAAGGACAAAGGCGTACTCTGGCTGCAAAGATCCGTGGACTTCCGTGCAAGCCATGTCTTAAAGCCACGCTAGCTCATGCCATTTGACACAAGTGGAGGTTAAATGGTTTGGCACAACATTATCAGGGATACATCAAAATGCAAAAATTGGGGCACTACCCTTTTCTTAACCTGTTTCCTGAACTGTCTTTTGCAGGACGCTACTCAAAAGGAATGCATTGTGCCCAAGGCATTAGGCTAGGCCCAAGGCAAGGGCAGAAGATAGGAAAATAGAAACGCCACTTCATTTGGCACGTTTATAGACCTTCTTCAAGAAAATCTCGATCATTTCCCATGGCAAGTTTGCTTGAGTGACTTTGCTCTTGAAGGCAAGGATGTCATTGAACGACTTGGTCTCGTAATTCTGGTATTTCTCCTCCAATCCAACCGCCTTGTAAATGTCCTTGATCTTCTGCTCCTCTTCAGTTTGGACTTTGCACTTTCCATAGTGCTCGTCCAAAAAGGCTTTCTGTTCTGAAGAGCACAAGTCGTGGTAGGCTTGGACAAAGAGCCACCCACACTTCTTGTCTTGAATGTCTGTCCCTATCTTGCCCAGGGTTTCTGGTGGTGCAAATGCATCCAAGTAATCGTCCTGTGCCTGGAAATAGACACCCATGAGTAACAAAGGCTCTCTAGCTGCATCGTAGGCTTCTTGATCCTTGATCCCTGCTACTGTCATTCCCAGAGCAACTGGCAAGTAGAAGGAGTAAAAAGCGGTCTTGTACTTCACAATGAGCTCCCAGCGAGTGTAGGTAAAGTCTTGAAGGCCAATGTTCTTGCATTGAAGATCCAAGAGCTGTCCACATTCCGTCTGGAAGGTGGTCTCCATGAACAAGTCGAGCAGGTCCAAATAGTAGGGTTCCGTCCAAAAGTGGCGTTTCAAGACACGGTAGACAAGCATCTCAATCATAAAAGCATCGTTGATGGCAATTTCTTCGACTCCATCCTTTTTGTACCAGCAAGGTTGGCCCCGGCGTGTCTGTGAACTATCCATGAAGTCATCTGCAACAAGAAGCCAAGCTTGGAGCCATTCGATGCACCAGCCCAGCACTGCAAGTTTCTTCAAGTCATCCTCAGTTGGTTCTTTTCCTTGAGATCTCAGGATGATAGCACCACTCTCAACAACCATCAATCCGCGGTTCATCTTTCCGCCTTTCACATTGTATTCCAACATGTCCACTATCCACTTCTGCTCCATAGAAGGAAGCTCATGTGTTGTGGGCAAGTCTTTCGTACATTCTTGTATCAAGCTTTCGCAAATCGCGACAAATGACTTTGCAGGTGCTTCCGGATCATATTTCGGAAAACCATCCCTCACACCTGCTTCTGGCAAAGGATATTTCCACTCTGTGGCTGGATAGTGGTGAACTTCCTCAGATTTGTCCGCATCTTGAATGAAACTCAGCGCGATCAGCGTGCCGATGCTGAGGATCAAGGGGATCAATGCATTGTGCGGAAGCAAGGCCAGCCACTGGTAGTTGCCAGCCAGGACCGCCAAGGCACAAGCAGTGCTGGCCAACCTTAGGTAGATGGGCTGAATCGACATTGCGTGATCCACAAAAGGGAAAATTGATGAAAATTGAGCCACACAATGCTTCCGCTTGAGCATCATGATGCACCTGCAACATGCTAGCTGCGTCTGACCTTGATAGCATTCGACCGCCTATTCTAGACCTCTGCTGACACTGTCTTGTATATGCAATAATAACACACTTATGATTGGGTGTACTGAACTGAAAGCGGTGCAACACGCCAGACCAAATCCTGAAAAACCAGGTGAAGGGGCCTGAGCGCCTGTAGTAGTTAAAGGCCAAAGTTCCAAAGCCACGAAGCGACGACCAGGTCGAAATGACGACGTACGCTCTTGTCTGCCGAGTGCATTAGCCCTTTATCAAATGTTAAAAATTGCAAGTACGTCGGAGTGATCAGCTCCGATATCCTCCCAACTCATGAGCAGCTTCGTTGGCAGTAGACTCATGAGTGGGCTACTGCATGCAACTGTTGCTAATGTCCCCTGCTGAAAAAAAAAGAATCCCTGTGACTACAAGGGGCACACACACACACATACACCAGTCCTTACAAACCTCGATGAACACTAACTGTCACTAACTCCAATTGTTTAGAGATTTGATTGCAATCTGCAGGTTGCAGTGTGTTTGCAACTGACCCCTTTCTGATCCTGCAGTCATCCATAACTGCAAGGTCATCGGGGAATGAGCAACATCTCACCGTGGACAAACGAACCAAATCACAAGCCGTAAGACTGCACAAGGCTTCCGCACTAGAGGCGCGCTGTTTCATTCATGGCACGGTTCAAAAGCGACTCCTTCATTTACGATCGCTTCTCCAGCCTTCCTGAAATCTTCTGCTTAATTAACGTATCGCTATTAGGGTGGAGGCCATCGCTTCTAGGTTGGAGGCCCTTGCTCTTAGGGTGGAGGCCATTGCTGTTAGGTTGGACACGAGTTGGCCTTGAAGCGCACAAAACGCACCGCTACCGGCTATAAATCGACCAGCACTCCTCTCAGAGTGGCGAAAATACGTACACTTACACCACAGACCACATCTCACCGTCATGTGAGACAACATGCCCAGCGAAGTGCTTGGATCCTCAAGAAAGTCAATTGCAAACAGCCGCACCCGCTGAAGCAGAACCTATCCTCCCACTTTTCCGGGACCGAACCGTCCTTTGTTTCTAAAGTGGACGTTTCTTTTGAGTAATGTGCAGATGCCATCCGATACCACTTGCTGCATGTAGACATGAATTGAGCCTGGCTATTGGTGCGTGACAGACCGAGTGACTGAGTAAGCCATTCCTGGGGCGACCACGGCTGGGCAAATGATAGAATGAAGGCTTGCGGCCCTTGGCTTTCTACTGCAAACACGACAAACACATGAATATCCTGGAATCTTTCGGAACTGAAGTGAAGACTTTCTCAAGACTCAACGGATTTCACGAGAAGTTTACTTTTCCATGGCTGTTCTCCCTAAATCACCGGATCTTTGGGGCCCAGAATGTTTGCCAGGCACCGGTGAGTCGGCATGGTCCCGCACCTCTGGCCAGACCCTAAGGACACATGTTCAACACATGTTCTACACGATTCTACACATGTTTTAAACAAATATGTTCTGTTTTTGCTTAAAATCTGAAGGAGGATCGTAATTCAATATACTAATGTTACCTAATGCATGCTACTGTTGAATGTTTGTGGTCCGAAACGATGGGGCAATGAGCCAGAGCTTCGTAACCTGTCTGAATTCAAACGCGCCTGTGCTCAAACACAGGTCTGAAACTGATTGGAATGCGCTTCGCTGTACACAAGTTACACAATGGTATGAGGATAATACAGGTTGAATTGCCGAAACGCACTCGATGAAACACGTATACAACCAAGGATCTCTATATTGACGGTCAGGAGCTGCTTTGGGCATACGAGCTCTGCGACTTTGTCTCCAACGGTAGTGTGTGCAAATCTAGCTAGCTTGCGCTGCATTTGGAGCTGTCTACAGAGTGTAAATCCCTGCTAACAGCAACGCAGTGTGGTCTACAAGCACGAGGAAACACTGTGCATGACTTGCATTTAGAAGCTCCAAAAAGGACACACTTCCCATGAAAGAATCGATCCCAATTAAGCTCATCCCATGCCAATCTACAAAACAGAATGGCGAGATCCTCAGTCAGGTTGCGGTTGCTCAGTGTGCCACAGGAGCACAAACTAGCAAATTAGCAAAGTGGCGCTTTTGAAACAATTCCACCACATTGCCGAACTGAACATGTACAAGTTGTGGTCCCTTCAAAAGACCACAAGAACATTGCCACACTGCCCTGTGCACTGTAGGCTTAAAAGCTGACATCCTGTCAGGCCCTGTGTGACAAAAGTGTAAATCTTCGAAGCTGTCAGTCAGCCACACCACGCTGCTGGCTCAGCGAAGTTGCTCATCTGAATCTGAACTTTGCTCATGCGGTTTGAGGGAATCTCTTCAAAGTCAAGAATCCACCAGTGTCACCGTTGCCGAAAGCGAGGTAGGCCCCGAAATCCTGGCAAAGCACATTGATTCTTCATAATATATCGCGTCAGAATACAGTCTCCTTGGCCATCTGTGCGCTCTGGACATCTACGATGTTGCGAAGCTGCTCGCTCAGACCTCGATTCTTGGAGGTTGGAAGCCTAGTTAGGCCCTAATAAGGCTTGCTGAATTTGGCACGATTTGCCAAGGCTCCAACCATGCAATCTGCTGAGGGCCACCCGCAGCATGCCAATCCCCTCGGATCGGGGCAATGGCACTTAGAAAACAAGATGGTCTCACCTCATTTCACTGTCTATCTATATATAGTTCTATATATATATATAGATAGACAAATAAATGGATACACTATAGATATTCCATTCCATTATTCCTTTGGCGCACTTGTTGATTGTGCCTTTGTTTGGCATGGTCTGCGGCCTTCAGCCCTTTACGTGCACGCTCAATTACGTGCATCTTGTTCTGGAAGGGTATGCAACACTTCCAACACTCCCTGGCTCCTATCTGCACTCACTTGCATGGCCATATTTTTGAACCTCCAGCGGGTGTGACAACTTCCACCAACTCGTAAGATAGCGTTACGGCCCTCAGCTCATCCTTGCTCAGTTGTTGCCCCTCTCTTTCTCATTGTTCCTTCTTTGACGGCTTCAGAACTCCTGCTTGCGCCATCTTGCGCCAACGACTGTACCAGAAAACAGAAAACTATCAGCACATTTGGCAGCGATCAGCGAGCAGCTCTTTTTCTGGTCTGTCGGAAAAATTGTTCGTAGGTCGGGGGTATGATCGGCAGCAACGGACTCTTCCAGTACTTTCTATAGTCCGGAACGAACCATTCAGCAACCTTCTTCTCCTCTTGCTGGAACATCTCAAACACAAGACATGACAAGCCCACAAGGAAGAAAACATGGGGGCAACGACTGTTCCTTGCAAGCCAAAGAAAGAATAGCCGCGGAACCTTGCTGCTCCTGCACTAGTCTGCTTATGTAATGCAGCTTGAGTTTGGCTGGAATCGCTTGGAGTCGCTTGCATAAAACTTTGCCTTGAAGGCATGCACGAGACTTACACTGCCCAGACCAACAACATACTGTGTACAAATACAAGCTCAAATACTGTGGGGGCCAATCTACCAGCGAAGCCCTTGGAAACTGCTTGCCTTGGCGCCTTAGGGTTTAGATTGCGCCAAATGCTGGAACTTTGGCCTTGTGCCTTGCATTTCCTTTGAGCTGGTGGTTGGATACAAAGTTCAAAATTAGCTCTAGACACAGAACCAGTGGAACTACTTGCATCGAAGGAGCTGTTGATGAATCGACGTCATAGTCGTCACGAGCGACCTACCAATGGCGCCAGTACAGCACTTGGTCAAAAGCAAGTACAAAAAAAGAACATTCTAACAGCACTTGCTTTCTAACAGAACAGAAAGCACATGTTCTTTTTTGATAAAGAAGCAGGCCCCACAAAGGGTTCCACAAGCAGCGACAGCATTTTTTGCAGCTGGCCACCTGCAGCTTCTTGATCTCGTCACGGATACGGCCTCAGGTAGTATCGAAATCGATAAATTATGATAAATTGACAAGTGCAGGCGCACCACTGCTTTTCAACCCGAGCCCTTCTTGGAATGACCAACATGCAATCATGTTCTGTAAAGAAGTACACGACATCGAAAAATGATGTCAGACTTACAAAAAGCAGTCGGCAAAACCCTAATTATATAGTTGCCGTTGGCTGCATTTGGTTGCACAGAACCATCTCATGACACCTACGGAACCTGACAAGCGGAAAGGCCAAGGAAATAAGAGACATGGAAGACAAACAGGAGCCAAATGAATAGTGCGCGCGCTTCTTCAAGGAAGCTCCCCCCCGCCACCTTTAGGGCGGCGGGGGAGCTTCCTTGAAGAAGCGTGAGCTATCCTGCGTCCTAGGTAGTAGCTACCCCCCTTAAAAAAGAAAAGGTCAAAGGTCTAGCAAATGCTTTTCAGTGATGCCAGACCACAGAGCAACTCTCAAGCATACTTAGAGGCTTTCATCAGCAATCTGAGGACACAAGGGAGGGGACAAGTAGCCACAGGGGACATGTAGGGAGACAAAGGAAACAGGAGCAAAATGTATCCTGGAAACTTCAGTGCAAGATGTTTGGGGGGGTGATAATCAAGTCGCACCTGTCACCATTTTTGCATAATACAGTAATATACATCTCTAATCATCTCTACAAGAGGCAAAGGGTGAGGGCATATCCTCAAAGAAATTAGGTTGGAGGCCATCGCTAGTAGTTTGGAGGCCATCGCTCTTAGAAACAATATAGAAGTGATAGTTGAAATGTCGAAGCTCAAATCGCCTGGCCTTCATCTCTTTCAAGCTGCTTCTGAATCTTCTCAATCTCTTCAACGGTGCAGCCCTCTGCAAGGCACCCTGCAGAAACAACGAGAATAAGGGTCCCTGTCTGTCCTTCCACTATGGCGGCCTTCAGCTTCCTCTTCCACAAAGTGCGTCACCTTCAACACCAGACATTCGAAGACAAGGAACATCCAACAAGCTTGCCTCCGGAAGCTCGAGATGGCGCTCTTCAGATGCGGCCATCTGGACCTCAAAGCAGGGACAGCGCCGAAAAAGCTTCAAGTGAAAAGGGGGATGCATGTGGCATGGGCAGTGTCCTTTTTCTCCTCTCTTTGATCATAACTCAGCAACAAGCAAAAGAAGGACGCTGTGGCCTCGGATGAGCATCCCAAACTGCCGGAGTCACAGGTGCAAAGTGAGAACAATTTCTCCCTGCATGACCATATAATATATACTGAATCTATAGGCAACAAGTACTTCGCTAATTGTCTAAAATCTAAAAGCTCCTGCAAAGCCAAGAATGGACCTAGTGGGGGACCATCTCTTGTGAGCAGAACCAATGGGCAAACTGGAAACAATGTCACCCATTCTAAAAATTAGTGCAAGGACAAACATTAATGGGTTGTACTGAAAAAGAAAACGGCTGGAAACTGATAACCTGCTGTTCCTTTCAACAACCTTTCAACAATTTCAACTCCCACGGAGTGGACACATATTATCCACTCAGCAAAAGTATGCAGCCACCAATGGACTAGAACCTGCAAGGACCTGCACCAGCAACTTACACCGACATCCCTCAGCTCTTCCGTAACCAACCCGATCACCTTCTTCATGCAAGAAACTGCTGGAAGCCGACAAAGGCTGGAGCAAAGGGGGCGAGGAAGAACCAAGCGGCCTTCATGACATGAAAACACCTCTTCTCAATCAGCGACTGTCACCCCTGACAAAAACGGCACCATTGTTGCCATTGTAAAAAAAGATCGGTAAGTGCTAAAGTATTTGCTCACACATCATGAGCCAAGCAACAGCCAAGGTGATCAAGCTGCGGAATGGGCGCTGGGACATGATTCCTACAAACACAGTCAGGAAGCTCCTTTCTTGAAGCTGAACTTATCACCGGGCGCTTGAGCACAGAGACTTGTGACTGCCAAAGAAAAACCATGCAGTACATGAATGTCATTTTATTGCAGCGACGTGCAATCATGAAATAGCAGTCGCCCTACGTTCATATTTCTGTTTGCAACAAACCAAGTGTTCGGTTACGTTTCTCAGTGGCTCTTAATGTTCGCTTCGTGTGCTGCAATGCATGCAAATAGAAAACATTTTTTTGTGGACACACATTACTTTGTGAAAAACACCGTTTATGTTGTCGAATTGTCTTCTCAAAACACTGTCGGGTCAGCTGTGGGGCAAATTAACAAGTCCAGTTTGAGGGGTAGGCACTGGACGGTCAACCATCGCACTGTTTAATGTTCATAAAGAAAGTGTGAAGACCGCGCATACCTTCACAAGTCCAAAAATGTAGGATTCTGGTCTGTAGTCACTTTCGACATAATAAAGAAACGCAATTTTTGCCTGGCCAGTGTCTAGCGCTTTGGGTCAAAAGGGCACGCTACACAAGAGTCAAACGCAATACAGTATCGTTTTTGGATTGGGCCTCTTGGACACTTCAAAACTCCATTCATTCACTCACAGCCTATCCTACTTGCCGCGCGCTGTAGCTGGTCCACCACACGGGTATTGGAACCTTTCTGACGGCCCTGACGGCTTGAAGAGGCAAGAGTCTTACCATGCAAATAGGCCACACCAAAACAGTCAAGTAATCAAACCTAAAAAAACGAGCCCCTAGTAGCGATGCCAGGAGCATCTATATAATGTGGTTTCCTTCTTTAAGATGATTGAAAAGACTTTGTTTCCTAGAGCTCTTCATGCTGGCGCCCATTGGACAAGAGTCTGGTCAGCCTCAATACTATTGAAGCCTGAGCATGCACAGATATATAATGGATGAGTGCCAATACGAACGAAGTGGCCCCAACCAACCCAAATCTGAGAAGGGATGAGACGAAAGCCAGGGCCAACCAACCGCCGAAAAGGTTTGGACATATTTTGTCCATTCTCTAGCTCTCCATCTCTTGATCTCGCTATAACAGGCGCACATTTTTGGTTATCAGGCCGTACAAAACCAGAAAGAAGGGCGTCCCTACCGCCCACCCATTCGTCCCACTAACCATCCATTGACCCATCTACACGCACACACATCCATCATGTATCCACATCTACTGATCGTTTTTTGCATCTAGCAGCATCTGCTTCACTGTCTCACTATGTCTTTGTCTCTCCACCTCTTCAGTTTTTCTCTCTGTTTCGTTAACTCTCTGACATTACCTTCCCTTCTATCCAACCCGTCCATTCACCCGCCTTATCATCCAGCGACTAGCGACGCTATACAATGCTATACATACTCTCCTCACCTCCAGCCGCATCCACTAAACAACTCTCTGCTTCACGCTGTTTCTATCTCTTACCTGTCACTCTCTCTCTCTGACACTTTTTCCTCTTTTATCCATTCATCCATCCATCGACCTACCTACAAGTGACTCAAAATGCCATGCATCGACCAGAAACTCTCCATCAAATTTTACTGATCGTCTTTTTTACATCTATATAGCCACATCTGCTTCAACATCTCGCTATGTCTCTATCATTCTCTATCTCTCCACGTCTTCAGTATCGCGTTGTCAGCCAATCCCAGCAACGTGGGCAGATGCGCTCGCAACTCCCTAATCCATACTAATCGTTACTAATCCAAACTGGTAGCCAACGCAAGTCGGCAGGCCACAATGTTGCCAATGCGGGGAGAGAGCGGTGGCGGGAGAGAGGCGGTGGCGCAGTCCATGGCGCACGCTCGCCCCTAGCATGCGACGCCCTTCTCCTCTGAACTACAAATGGCTCTGGCCCTACCAGCGGGCAATTTTGAGTTTGACGGGGTGCTAGACAGGTGCTCTGCAGTTGCAAAGACAAGTCATCGCAAAGGCACTAGGCAAGGTTTGCAGGTCATCAGTTCAGGCAGGCCCGCCCTGGGAATCTTTATGGCGCAGCGACAGCCGCCTGCACCAAACTGTTGTGCCAAGTCTCCGAAACAAGCGTTTCTACGAGACTTCCTCCAAAAGTGAAGCGGGAAAGGTCATCAGCACGTGCACATTACACGTGCCCCTCCAAAGACAGCCTGACACGACAATACTAATGGCCTAATGGCTGAGAATTATCACGAGAGCACAGCTTCGAGGCAAACCCAATTGCTCGACATTCAACACCTCCAAAAGACCCTGGGAACTTTTGCCTCTTCCGCCCTCCTAACGCTCCCCATTCCAACAGTGCTCAGAATGCAAGCAATCGCTTCATCTATTTTGCAAGCATGCTGCGCTGAATGTTTTTCCCTACATTCTTCGTCAGAAATTCTGCTGATGCCTTTCAGGCAAGTCGACCTGAGGCAGTCATACGTGAGAATTAGAACACTTGGGGGACAAGCGCTATAGTCAAAGCTTGATTGTCTTCTACACAACAAGCTAAGAATCATAGGCGTTAGGCCAGGCAGGTGTGCAACTAGTTCCACCGCATTTCGCGAAACATGAAAATAAAACAACTTGGGCCCACACCCTCTGCAATCAAACAGTGAACTGGATGTTGTCCATCATCGACAAAGATTCCGGAGGTGATTTCGAAGGCGGCTGGCAATGAAACGTAGGATTCGAGGGGTCTTGATTGATTGTGAAACGCAAAACATCCTTGGCTAGAACATGTCAATCAAGACCCAATTCACTCAGAGTGTCGAGAACGCGTACATAGCGTGCACCCGAGTCAGGCCTTGCTGCGGACTTTTGCTACAGCTACCTGGAGTGATCAGCACGCTCGAAGTAAGGGTTCTTTGGTGTTCTGTGGAATGCTGGCTGTCCACTCTGCAGAAAGCTGAATAAACATGAATAAACCACATGCCTTTCAATAAAGGAACTGCTGGGAGAAACACCAGGAGCTCCAAAAGACATGTCTAGAATGGCTACACATACCTTCAGACCCAGCATTAAGGTTTGTGGCCTTGGCTTCGCGTGCTTCAAGCTCCCCTGGCATGATCACCTACAGCCGACACAACATGAAACGATCAGGTTGCTTCAAACAACACTGCTGCTTTTGCCCCCTACCTCCCCACGGTTTACAAGACAAGAACTGGTTTCAAGCCATGGATTCAGTCTTGAGACAGATTGATATTCCTCACAGGGTGGTGGGCCACGCAGCTAGCTTAAGTTATTTAGCGCAAGTCAACAAGCGAGAAGAAGTGCACCTCACTAAATCTGTGACGTCGCTTTCCTCCTGGAAATCAGTTGAACTGGCATTGTTCCACTGTGCTTGTTCAACCCACACACATCAACCTGGAGCGTCAGCGCTTAGCGCTTTGGCGCTATTGGGGCAAAGAACCGGAGTAACCTCTTCCTCAGATGGAGATGGTACATTCACAAAAACTTCATGTTTGTGCGACAAATGTACCTTCAAAACATCCAACACCAAGCAGTGCCAATGTATATAATTCGCTTCAAACCAGGAACCACTGCGGAGCTCGAAAAAGTGTGATTGTTCTGACCAGGTCCCACATGCCACGGCGAAGGGTCAGCCTCCAGGGCGGTCAATTCGTGAACCAACAAATGTACATGAGGTAGGTCGATAAAGTATGCACGATGAATGTCTAAAGATGCGTCTTGTTACTACAGTAACAGGTGCTTCGCTAGTAGTAACAAGTGCCTTACTAGTAGTAACAAGAAGCTGCTGCACATTGCACTCGACGGGCACGGTCATCGCTCACATCATTCACAGACTCGCCTCACCCGCAGCAGTAGGCTTCGCGGTGCTCGAAAACCGAGGCCCCATGACATTTGGCTGTATGATCGCAGTGTTTGCAGGTATAGAGCACGCCTGCAACCGCTCAAAATTAAACAGGAGGACGATTCGCGGCCAATGTCAGCGTGGTGATATGTTGTTTTCGAGATGAGATGTGTGTTCTTTCTTAGTGTGCACAGCTAACTAGCAGTACAACAAGAAGCTACTAGTAACTAGTAACAAGTGCATCGCTGCTAGTAACAAGGGCATTAGCGTACTATTAGCAACAAGAAGCTACTAGTTATTATATAGATGTTCTCTGTCAACATTCAGCTGAGTCGGACAACTGTGCCACCAACTTTGTTGGACTTGACCGACTCTGAACCCTTCAAAAACATGCCTTGGGTAGGAAGAATGGATCAAGTCAAGAACTTGTTCAATATATTGTTCCGCTCTTTACTGTTCGAATTGAAGCTTGGGAACGCGGTATGTGCATGCATGTGAAATCCAAACGACTTTGCAGCACGACCAATGGCATATCCAAAGACCATTATGATGGTCTGCTCTGCATGCGATCATTTATCCACAGGCCTGATTACAAAAAACACCAAAATCACCAAAGTTAAAGAAGGCGGGTCACTATGAGCGTGTCTGTTTTCTCCGTTCGTGATGACAGCTCTGGAATATCGTTTGTCTTCAAATCTGTTTTCTCCGTTCGTCATGACAGCTCTGGAATATCGTTTGTCTTCAAATATGTTTATTCTTATTAGCCTCTTCCTACATTAGCTACTCTTCTCAATGGAAGCAGGATGGTGGAATCAATTGTATAGGCATGGAACAGCGCACTGACCAAGAAGGGACGATGAATTATTCAAGAAGAGGAGCCGGGGTCTCTGAGGCGTGCGGGGTAAGAGTAGGAACACGCAATTCTCTTGCATTGACCTAACTCCCTTAGTCTTGACTGATGCAACCATGCTGACAACTACAGTACCATAAAAGAACAGCCTGTTCAGACTAGGAAAAGATTGCTGAGGAAAATATGTCGTTTCTTCAATTCTGAAGGATTCTTAAATCATATTTGGGAGGATGGACAGAGCCAATCCTAAGATGTAAAACCACTGGAGCAATAGAATAGCCTGTTGGGAATAGGAAGGAGTTTTTACAGGAAGAGTGTTGAGGGGAGAGGAAGAGTCAAAGAAGCGGTTGTTTGTATATGTTACGCATATTATGAGAATTCGGTCAAAATTGATTACTGTATGTCCGGCGGTTGCATCCTCAGATTGGTGAGTCTCCTATCGTTTTCCCAATGTTTTGGAAGCTTGTTAGAGGGTATAGTTTTTTTTGAGTCCCCTATGCTTTGCTCGCATATAAATGCAATACTCTTATGCACTCATAATCATCGCAAATCTTGAAGGCACTTCATATATGTCTTACCGTTGTTACTTATTCATTGTTTAATCAGTGGCATCAGTAATGAAAAGCTGATTAGCAATAGAATATAACGAACAATAGGACAAAAGACAAACCAGCCAAGAAGAAATGTTCAATTCAAGTAGGGACATCGCTAATGTCAGAGCTCTATGTATCATAGGCAAATAAGCAGACTTACAGTTGTTTGAGTTTGGCTGGCATCGTCCAAACCAAAAGAAACGAGTAACACGCAAAGAAAACTTGCTTTTCCTAAACATCTAGGAACCAAATGAATAGTGCGAGCGTGAGCTATCAAGGAGCTAACTTGGCCCTTACCTAATTAAGTAGGGGGCAGAGCTGGCTTCTAAATATGTGTTGCAAACCAGAGGCCGCTAAGATGCGCCTTTTCCAACACCGACCATGCAGCAGTAAACACGGGTGAAAGGGGTCACGTCTAGAGCCTAGAGCAACGCCGAGTCGTGCCACCTCAAACGACAAGTCAAACCAAGGTGAACAACTGAAACAGCTCCCAAGACTTTATGTTGGTTTGACTAACCAAAAGATCCAATCCTTCGCACCTGGCTCTGCGCTGCTCTGACGCTCGCTTCGATCGATTCTTCGAAGCTGGACAACTCTTCCTCAACTGAAGTTCCGTGCTTTCGTCCCAAAGAGCTAGCCTACCGGTTCTTAAAACTTCCTCCAACGCCCCATTGGAGCGAGACAAATCATCCTTCGTGAGCACGTCTGCCACCATGCGTGGATGGGGGGCCCACCTCACTATGGTGTCTGCCTTCTTGATGGAGTTCAAAATAATGGCTATTTCAATTGCTGTGCGTCGATCTTGTCTGGAGGATGGTGACTCTTTCTGGATGGTATCGTAGAGGCTTTTTGCATCCGTGATGAGTCCTTGGTCCAAGGTTCCCTTCAGCTTACAAGTGTCGGGGAGCACCGCCACGAAAGGAGTCAGTGACTGGGTCCAGTCGGTCAGTTCGACATCGCCCCAAACTATATCTCTAATCAGCACCTGCAGCCATTCTAGCTCACTGATGGCTTGGTTGAAGGCCAAGGCCTCTCCAGCAAGGGTTGAAGCTACCCTCCTCCTCAGCTTGGATGATCGCCAGGACAACAAGCTGACTTTCACTTTTCTCGAGGCAGAGGGCATGTTGTCGGAGGCAAAGATCAGAAAGGCACCCTGTATAGTGTCTTCCAGCTCTTCTCCTGGAACCTCGCGCGAAACTTGTTTCCCGGCTACTCCGCCTGCGTCTGATGCAGCAATTAGTATCATCTTGCTCATGTCAAAACGATGTAGCACCAGCGGTTGTTGGGCCGTCTGTCTCATGTGGGTGATCACTTTGTTCAAGCAAACCACGTCGTGCACGGTGGCTCTGTGTAGTCTCGAAGACAGAATGCTTACGATTCCTGCCGCCTCCGGTCTAGTTTGATGAGCCAACCAAGCCACCTTGTAGAGCATTGAGCGAAACTCTTCAAACTCCTCGTCGTCCAGAGGTGCGGTCTTGTCGGCCCTCCGGCCCACCGCCAGCTTCACCGCGGCTAGCTTTTCCACAATGTACTTGTGTTGATGCATGATGACTCTGTCGCTAAGTATCTTGACGGACCTGCCTGCGAAGTCTGCTTCTTGGTGTTCCCATTTTCCGAACTTGAACCTGGCCTTCAACTTCTCCTGCAAATCAGGCATGTACTCTTCGGTGGCAGCGATGTTGAAATCGTCCACCTCTACTAGAACCATGGCTTCGATTCTGCCTTCAACCCTTTTCACAAACCAGCATGGTTCAAACAGGCTCCTGTTGAAACCTAGGTCTTCCAAGAACCTCACCACGGTAAGATGCCAATTCAAGGGAGAATCGTCAAGCCCATATATCGGAGCCACCAAGCGAATCAGAGACCCTTTCGGAAGCCTGATGCCGTCGCATGGCTCTACCCATAGTTCTCCTGCAGACCGGACAAGTTGCAGACCGGACAAGTGGATCGGCCTGACAAAAAGCTTGAGTGACATCTGCAAAAGAGACTGACAGGCCCAAGTTGAGAGCGAGTTGAAAGAACAAAACAATCGACTCTGTCGCCGGTGTTGGTGAAAACGTCTTGAGTTGACCGGTGTCTGGATCACCATGCCCCAACACACACCATCGGGACTTGTACTTGAAGTTGCCAACACCAGGAAGTGGTTTCTTTCGTCTCACCATTCGCGACTGCAGAATTCGAGTTGGATGTTTCCTTCGAACCTCTCTAGCTTGAGTCGGGCTTACCACGTCCACGGCCTTGAGGTTTTGAATGTTGGACCACTCTGACAAGTCGGATTCGTCGAAGCCGGCTCGTTCCTCTGGGGTGGCGCGCCTCATGCAAAACTCCCCGTTCTTGGCTTTGGCTGGTTTGGCCATGAAGCTGTCCTGCGCTACCTTGAGCTCTACGAAGAAATCAGGGTTCTGGGAAAAGACTTTGCTCCTCTTCTTCCGCTTCGGCAATGTCTTCTAGTCCTGGTACGTCTTGAAGGTCTAAGCTCACTGCACCAGCAGCTGCCTCAGCATTGGCGGGCCTGGCTGAGCTGGCCGAAGAGGAGGTAGCGCCTGCTGAATCTGCCACGGACGAAGATTTGCTGTCGCGTCTGACCTTTGTGTCTCTTTCAAGTCGATTCAACCTACGGAGCTCCTTGAGGGCGATCTTTTCCAGCTCCTCTATCTCGGAGATCTGTCTCTTCACTCTGCCCGATTCTTGTCTTGGGTCAATGCTTCTGTCGCTTGCTGAGTCTAGCGATTGTCTAAGAGTCTTCTCACTGTCTGTCTTTTGCCTTTTCATTTCTGTCTCGTGGCCTGGAAGTGACTCTCTTGGTCTTCGTTCTAGTGACCACTCCATGTCTTCTGCATCGAGCTCTCCGGGAAGGGCTGCAACTGGAGGGTGTTGCGCTCGCAGAGCATGGCCGGCTCCGTCGTCGCCTAGTGTCTCTGGCGCCGACACTGTCTCTTGTGGTGGTCCGGCGCCAGGTACTGGAGAAGAAAGAGCTTCTTCAGGAGGAGGTCCTTCTGCTGACACGTCAACTGCTCCGGCCTTGGCTGATTGACCCTGCATGATGAGTTGTTGGAATTCTTCAGCTCTTCCAAGTTCTGCTCCAATGGCTTCATCCCTAGAGGCTGGTCGAATCTGATCGCTGGAGCACTTCCAGAGCCTTGCCCTCATGGACACCCACACTGAATGTCCGGATTGCAAAACCACAATGCCTGGTCCTGTCCACCGGGATCTAGTGACATGTCCTTGCCCGGTGCCTGGTTGGCGCCTCCAGACGAAAACCCATTGTCCTATGGTCCACTGCCTTTGGGGATGTCTTCGATGATTTGCGCTAAGCCGGATCTTTTCTTTGGAGACTGCTTGGACACACAGCTCTCGGGCTTTCTGCCTGATGGCATGGGCTCTTCTGAACTCCGTGGTGGCTGAGTCTTGATCAAAGGCATCATTGAGCACATCGTCCCACCCTGCTTCTTGAAGAGGATCGTCGCTGAGAAGGTCTAGAGGGATTCGGGGGTTCACTCCGAAAACCAATTGGCAGGGCGAATAGCCGCCCCTACTAAACCATCGGTTCTTGTTGCATACGACGTTGACTAGCAGTTCTTCCAAATCACTTGGTTGAAGAATGATGGACTGTCCCGAGCTGAGTTCCAGTTCGGCCCGGTCTTTGACCCAGCCTCCGTGTCTCTCAGTTTTGGAATTCTGCCATGGACACGATGCATCGCAAACCACCTGCAGACAACCTAGGTGTTCTAATCCTCGCTCGAACTGAGTCTTGAACTCTGAACCTCCGTCCGACACCAGTGTCTGAGGGATCCCAAAAGGTCTGACCCAAACTTCTTGGAAAATCTTCCAGGTCTCTCTGGACGATGGGACACCTCCATCGTAGTGGCTGTACATTGCAATCTGCTGGAAGTTGGTCCCGTGGTCCACTACGTTCAAAAAAACCCGAGTGCGACTTTGAAAATTGATGTAAAAGACATCGATGCCAATGATAGTGTTAAAGGAAAACGTCCGGGGAGCCGAGGCAACTTTTCTTGTCACTGGTCTCCTTTGTCTCATGCAATTTGGGCAGTGAAACTCCTCCTGGACGTACTTCAGCGCGGCCTCTTTGGCCTTGGCAGCCTTCAGCATAGTCAGCATCCGGTCCACCGGCAGGTGTCCAAGGTTGATGTGCATGTTCATCACCTTCTTCTGCTGATCTGCCGACAGCTTGCCGGATTGGTCTTTTGCCAAGGTTCGAGGTGTTCGAGGGGCAGCCACTGCTTCGGCTTCTTCCTCAGACTCTCCTCCCTCAGGATCCAATGGATGCGCTGCCCCGGAGAAACTCTCCTCCTTGGACAGAACCTCCCGCTCGGTCCAAGTGAGACCCTTCAGGATGCTCTCAAGGAACTTCTTGGGGTACACTCTTGTGCCTTTCTCGCAAGCCCGCCTTCCAAGTGTCGGTGTTCATGGGAGTGATCACATTGCAGTCTCGCCAAAACAGCTGAAACGCCAGGTGGTTGCAAATGATTCCAGTGGGTTTCCGAGACACATCACCGGACGGATGCACACATAGCCCGGCCATGCACATGTCGATCACGAACCGAAGTACGCCTGCCTGCTGCATTAGCCAAGTCATGGCATGAGTCTGCCAACTAGACGCTCCGGCTGGTTGCTCCAACAGGAACCATCTTCCCCGCTCAATCTGGTAGGCCGCGACCTCGATGGCAAAGTGGAGCATAGCCAAGGCTCTTTCTCGCAATGCGGCTAGTTCCTCGTCGTCCATCTTGTCTTCGTTGGCGTTCATCAAAATGCTGAAAGCCCGGCACTCAGGAGAGATGGTCACGAAATCTGGCTCCTGCTCAACCATGATCTTTCTTTTCGTGTTTAATCTCCTCTACACTTTCAGTTCTTGAGCGGCACCCAGGCTCTTGTATCATCTGTCTCGATACCGTGGAGCCGTGATTCCACTTCCGGTGAGTCTCACTAAGCCCATAGGCCTTACTGTCACTGTCGTCAACTCTTCTCAGTGCTCAAACTCTTCAAAGTGGCAAGCAAGTCTTTCTTCTGACGTTTCGTCAGATGTGCTTCTCTTCCCTCTGGAAACTGAAAATACAGGATATCCCCCACCAACTCTCCAGAGTGAACCAACAAAACAGGTCGATCGAAACCGTTCTGAAAAACGCTATACTCACTAAACTTTCCTTGGGAAGCGGCACGCAGTGCAGAGATGCTCAAAGGAACGTTCAGGCTAGGAGAAAACGAAACTGTACAATCGAGCTCTTCTACTTCGTTCCCGGCGGCCGTCTTGGTGAAACTTTCTTCCGCCGCCCCGCTCAGCGCTGCACTCGGCTCCAGTGAGAGCCCTCGTCGTCGTCGTCCTCGTCCTCCATCTGCTGCGAGTGCTGCTCCTGGAGCCCCAAGGCGATCATGTTCTGCAACTCCGCCAAATTCAACCTTGGGAACAGGTTGGCCGGGTATTCGTCGGCCTGACGCTGCACCATGGAGTGGGGGAGTTCCACCTGCTGTTCCATCAAATGCCTCATGCCCTCGACCATAGGCGCCATGGCCTGAGCCATGGAGGCCGACGTGGCCTGAGCAATCTGTTGGGCTTGGTCTTCCAACGCACGCTGGAGCTCGTGGCGATGCACTGCCTCTGAGCTGGATGCCGCTTGCTCCACCATCGGCGCAGGAAGTGTTCCTGTGGCCACGTAGCCCTTCATCTCTGCCTCCTTCGCCTGCGCTTTGCGGGCAGCTGGAGGTGGGTTGTTCCGGCTGTACGGACGGTATTCGAGCTTCGCCTTGCATAGGGAACACTTCTTCCAGGTGCCATGCTGATTTGCTCCCTTCGTCACGAAGGGGTGATTGCACGTGCCTGGAGTGTCTGGCGGTGGAGTCGGCACCGCCTTGGCCGCCTTGGCTTTCGCCTGTGCTCCGATGCCCTAAGAATCCTGTATTGAAAAAATTCAATAAAAATATTGAAGACA